ACACACACACACACAAAGAAAAACAAGTAGATAGAATAGAAAAAATAGAAAGCTAGTGTTTGTTAGTTTTTTTTTTTTTTTTTTTTTAAAAAAAAAACAAAAAAAAACAGAAATGTTGCATTATACAGCGTTGCTGTGCTAAAAATTATTCCCTAATTTTTTTATGTATTTTTGCCTCTCTTTTGGTTTTATCAGGTTGTGTTCCGACTGAAAAAAAAACCCCACTTGGAGGAACTCGCTGTTCTTGTTGTTCAGGTATGTGGGTGTGTGTGTGTTGTCAGTAGGCAGGTGTTAAGTTGTGAGCTGATACGTGCAGCATGTGCACACTGAATTAATGTGCAAAAGTAGATTTAGAAACATTAAAGCTGGTGTGTTACATTTTTTGATGTTAAAGCACTTTCTTCTATCTTAGCTTCATATTCAAAGAGAACCAAAATTAAGCCATCCAGAAGACTGTAAACACTGGGTTTTTGATGTTCTCACAACATTGTTTTACTGTACTTTCCTGTAATTACATATTAAAAGAGATGTATGTCAGAAAAGACAGCTACTTTTAAATACCCCCCAGTGGAGAAAGATGCCTTTTGCCCACATAATTTGTAGTCACAACATCTTCCAGCAGGGGTTAATAGGGCCATGCTAACCAGACAAACCTTGACCGCATACATATGATCCCATTGCAGCAGACAAGCAAAGACACAAGTCTATTTAACACTATTAAAATCTATTTTAAAAAAAACAAAGAACTAGTTATACTTTTCACTATAATGGTTTTTTCCCTATTTATATACTACTTGTATACAGTTGTCGTCTACAAAATGTTAATTATTTTACCAAAATAAGAGGGATCATACAAAATGCATGTTATGTTTTATTTAGTACTGACCTGAATAAGATATTTCACAAAAAAGATGTTTACATATAGTCCACAAGAGAAAATAATAGTTGAATTTATAAAAAATTACCCGTTTAAAAGTTTATATACGCTTGATTCTTAATACGGTGTTGTTACCTGGATGATCCACAGCTGTCTTTTTTTTTTTTTTTTTTTTAATATAGTTGTATAGAGTCCCTTGTTTGTCCTGAACGGTTAAACGGTCCATTGTTCTTCAGAAAAATCCTTCAGGTCCGACAAATTCTTTAGTTTTTCAGCATCTTTTGAGATGCTGCAAAAGATACTACAAAGTGTATGCAAAATTTTGACCGCAACTGTAAATGGTTTAATCCGTTTACACTCATACCTTTGATTTGTGTCAATGGTTAAATATGCTTTTTGCCAGCATAATGGTGTAAGATCTTCCAGAAGGGGATAACTGCAAATCTAACCAACCAACTACTGACCTCTTGAGCCCAACATAGCAACAGATAAGCTCCTATCCAAGTGACTTCATTTTATTATAGTTTTAGAAGACTCACACTCATAGTCAGTCTGCCCTATGAAGCGTTACTGACACGAGGCAATTTGTAGTGTTCCTAATGGTTCATTGTATGAAGTCAGGGAAGTGTGTGTTTTGGGTAAAGTTCTTCTAGGCCTTCATGACCTTCATGGCAGCAGATCTGCTGTATGCGAGTATGAGACAAATGGTGAGAAATGTTGAAAGGTTATGTGTGAAAAACATAAAGATAATGTTAAAGATGCATGCTTTTTTTAGATGTACATATTGATGTCCCCTAAAAATACATCCCACAAAATGCAGAATATACACAATATATATATATAGGTCTATTCAGATGACATTTCAGCAGTAAAAATGCAACCAATGAGTCAGCACAGCTGAATTTCGCCCATACCTGCTCTTATTACACTACTGACGTTACACACGTTTCCAGTAGCTCTTCGTCATAATTCATTTTGACTGTACATCATCTTTAGTGGCTCATTCAGCCCAACATAAATGCTGTAATTCTCATGATTTACTGATCTATAATACTCTTAATGCACCTGCGGATAATTCAGTGATCTCCTGGTGCCCTTGATTTAGTGATTCACATATTCTTTATGAAAAAATGATGCTCAAATATATTAGAGCCCATATCAATTACCTATAATAATTACTCTCATTTTTTAATGCAAAAAGTCCTGACTTTTCTCTTGTGGTCTGTGGGTAATGGCTTTACAGCTGCATGCCAGTAATAAAAGTAGCTTATAGGCAAAATGACAATTTATCTTTTGCCATACGTGTATAACACATTAATGCTCTGGTTTCAAATTAAGCTCAATCGACAGCATTTTTGGGCATAATGTTGTTTGTCACAGGAAAAAAATCTGTAACACAGAAAAGGGGTGCTGTTTTGGATTTGGGGCCAATCTGTAAACATTAAAATACTTAACTGTTTTAGTACAGCCACAAGATGTAAACAATATGCATTACAGTTCCAACTTTATCCAGTTCCAACAGGTGACCTCATCCTCGCCTTGCCCTTGACTTGTAGTGTACAAGTGCAAAAGTGTGTTAGTGGTTTGCTTATTCTTCCAGAAGCAGCACGGCCCTAATATTAGTCCAAATGTATTAATTGACTGGAAGTTTTTTTTTCACTGTATGAAGTTTACAGACATATAAACACACTTGCGCACATTGGAATAGCGTGGCGCATGTGCTCTTAAAACAGCATGTGCACACCAATGACACGCCATGCCTTTAATAACAACACGACTGCCATGAGCCAGTTGCAGGCAGGAGTTACAAGACTACAGGGAGACTGAGAGATCGACAGAGAAGGGTCAGCAGAGGAAATAGAGAATGGAGGATGATGTAACAAACAATAGAGAGGGAAATGTATCAAACTGACCTCAAGCTTTTGTGTTTTTTGTGTATTGTCTCTCTGAACTCTCTCTGAACTTGCGGGGGCTTGTAGCATCTAATCTCTAATGTGTTCTTTTCCAATTATCTGGAGAGGTGTATGCATGTCTGTGTTTTTTAATTAAGTGTGTTAAATCACTTTACCTCTGAAACAAGTCTCTTTGCTCATCTTCCCCTCTTGTGTCCTTTTTGGTTCAAATTGCAGAGCCACCTGATTGCTGCACTTTGTAAATTGTAATTAGCTCTATTGTCACCACTAGATGGCAGCAGTGTGCTTTGCTATTATCACATAGCAGCATATGATTGAATCTCCAGCATACCTTTCATTGCAATCAGGTGTTTTTTTTTATTCTCTCCTCTCCATACGGATTCTTGTTCCACAAACCTGATACTGTGTGATCTATATAGAGGCAGAGCAAGTATGGTTGCCCCAACCTTCCTCTTTCCATCTCTTTTTCATTTGTTCTTTCGGGCCACTGGTTACAGGTCTTTGGGGTGACATAAAGGTTTCAGGTGCTTTCGGTGCCGCAGCACAGGGCCCTAGACGGAAAAAGCAGAAATTGGAATTGATTTTGGGAACATTTGGGGCTAATGTATCTCTGTCTCTTTCATTCTGTCTCTTTGCTGCTTTCTCTGTTCCTTTGCCTCACATCTTCCATCTTTGAACTCATTAGATATTACAGATATTACAGAATGAGTTCAGTTTGAAGGGCTTATCCTGTTAAAACATTTTATTGGTATATGCATGCTTAATTGATAACCTCTGTACTTTTAATATAATCTTTTATTATATTTTAATAATATTATGTCTTTTATTATCTTTTATAGATTTGCCAATGACATGACCAAGGATTTGCAGACTCTTCCTGGGGTCAAGTCGGCCTGCTCCAACGCTGCTGTATTTTTGTGGTAACATTGTGAAATTGAAAGGAAGCAGATTTGCCAGTCACCATGCCAGCCCTCTCCACCAGAGCCGGCAGTGAGATAGGTACCTCATCTTACACTTCATACCTTATTGTACGGCAGGCAATAAGATCCTCTAATTTGACCAGCCAAGCTTGATCAAATGACAGCTTATGTTTAATAATTGTTCAAATTGTGTCTTTGTTTCATCTAACATGTTTCATGATTTTAACATGATTTTTTAAATGTTTTTGATTTCTGATGCTCATACAGACTGCATTTGTTTGAACAAAAATAATATTGTGAAATATTATTACAATTTAAACGGTTTTCTATTTGAATATGTTTTAAAATGCAGTTTATTCCTGTGATGCCAAAGCTGATTTTTCAGTAGTCTTCAGTGTCACATGATCATTCAGAAATCATTCTAATATGCTGATTTGGTGCACAAGAAACATTACGTATTGTTATCAAAGTAGAAAACAGTTGTACTGCTTAATATGTTTGTGGAGACTGATACTTTTTTTTTCAAGATTCTGATAGAAAGTTGAAAAGAAAATTTATATAAAATGGAAATTAATTGTAACTTTTATAAAAAGGAAATTGTAACATTAATACATGTCTGTTCTGTAACTTTTAACTCCATCCTTGTTGAATAAAAGTAGTAATTTCTTACAATAAAAAAAAAATGCTGACCCCAAAATGTTTAATATACTGTAAAAATTGTTTTTGGTGTTTGGAGACCATACTGCTAAATAATTTGTAACTTTAGCAGTGAAAATTAATAATATGAAATTATTTCCCTTCCCACATCCCTCACTCTCGGTCTCATTTCCTTTATAAAGAAGGGATTACCAAGTGAATGTAATCCATTAGAAACTAACTCCTAGTTTGGGTATAAAAAACTGATGGACGAGCACAAGGTTGCTGGGAGACATTTGGTATGGTTAGGTTACTTCTGCTGTGCGTGATCCTGTCTTACCCAACATGTTTTTAATGAACACTTTGAAAGCCCAGTAAGCCACTGTGGATCTGATAGATTAGAACCATTACATACCTCATGTCAAGATGTGCGCAAGGACTCTTGTGCCCTGAAAATTATGCCACTGCTCTTGATGAGTTATTGGCTGCTATGTTGTTGTTGGACACCTGACAAAAACACTCTCTCACTCTCTCTCACACACACACACACACACACACACACACACACACACACACACACACACACACGC